CTTCCCTCTCCTTCTTCCCTCTCCTTCTTCCCTCTCCTTCTTCCCTCTCCTCTCTCCTTCTTCCCTCTCCTTCCCTCTCCTTCCCTCTCCTTCCTTCCATCCGTTTCTCCATTTCTCCATCTATTTCAACCTGCTGCACTTAATTGATCGCCTGAAGAAGACTGGGAATGCGGCTAGGATGGGCAATTCAGCGTGCTGCACTGGCGCAGAGGTGGTTGGGTGGCTGGGTTGGTTCTCCGAAGGCCTTTTTTACTTCGTCGGATTTTTGCTGGACGCATGTACTCAAGGGCGCCTTATGAAATGTATGACGAAACACCTGAAGCGTCTGGACGGATCGAATCGTCACCACTCAGCTCTCTCGGTGTGTATTCGGCGACGGTACCGAAACCAAGTAGGAGAATTAGGATGAATTTGGCGTCTATTTGCATGTGAACCCTGCTCCATTGTGTTGTGCTGGGCTCTTTGTTGAATCTTTTTACAATGTTTTTTGGTCCCTAGATTGCAGCTGGCAAGTGGCATTTTATGCCAGTGCAGGAGTCACCTGGTTCAGGACATGTGCATGAACTTGAATTCAGCAACTGTGGATGCTTTACTTGGCTCATCGCAGCACCTTACAACTTACAACCACAGTTCTTTTTCAGATTCTAGGCGTGGAACGTTTCATGCAGCTTTTGCGCTTTTGCGGCGAAACGAGTGGCCCTAGTTAGCAAGCGTGAGGCAAGTGCAGAGTATGAGCAGAAAGAGCTCACTCGCAAGGACAGCGCGACCCGTGCTGGGGGAAGCATTCTTCTTGGGAATCTCACCGGACAAAAGCAGAGAACTCTTCAAGCGTGGATGGGGTGCGATGAACGTTTCACTGATGGAATGGATAGACTCTGACTCACTAGCATGGAAGTGGAACATTGCACCTTGGAAGACTACTTTCCTTTACAAACAAAGGATTTTCCACTTCCATGTTAGTGAGTCAGGGTGTATATGAATGGAGGGAACTGCCCGGAACCCATGGGGGGTTACTACGGATGAAGAACTCGAGCCTTCGAGACCGAACCTGGTGGATTTTGGGCGTCCCAGAATCCGCATTGGAGCGGACTGACCCACACTGCAGCCGGCACGTTCGTTGATATGGCGGGGTTTCCCGTGCTGAATTCGGATGTACCTCTTCCGCGCAATCGGAAGAGGTATATTCCATGGCTGGCATGTGTTGAATTCCGCGGGCAAAGAATTCTCGGTAGGGCTGCCAGTACCTGAAAAGGGCTCCGTAGGGACTTCCTCTTCTGCCAGCTGGCTGTCAGGGAACTTGCAGATGGCTCGTAACCCCGCGTGACCGGCAGACAAGAGGGTAGTGTACCAGCAGTCTTAGTAATGCCATTGTTACTAATTGCGATGCCATTGTTGCTAGTAGCTTCTTTCTACTAGTAGCGGTGCACTTGTTAAGAGTTGCTTGGGGGGGTCGGCTCCCAAAGCTCCAAGCCACCAAGGACCACTTGACACGTGGAACCATCCAAGAACCCAATTTTGCAGACATGAGCGGCGCAGGAAGCGGCTCCGGGTGTGGGCAACTTGCCAGGCCCGGTAGATTCACCCTGATTAACGGTGGTTTGTGCAAACCTGTCCAATGTACAGAATCTATTGGCCAAAGTTCTGCAACTTTGAAATCTTGGATGGATGTCTCCTATCCAGTGTAGCAGATAGGTTCCTGGCATTTTGTAATCTAGAGTTTACTCATTCCAGTTCTCCTTGGGCAGATTTTCCTTAGGAGCATGCGTCAATGCGGGCATGAAAGATTCCCGAAGGATGGGTGTTTGTGTTTCTACCCGGAGCTTCCAAGGTGGCATATTGGTGGCTTCAGAAAGGAAGTCTACGACATCCAGTGTTTTGGGAGAGTGACCTTTTTCCTGTATAAATATATGCTCAATGCATGCTGAGAGTCTTCACCATGTGGGATCATGTAGCAAGTCATGCCTCTTCACCATGAGATCAGAGTGGCCTTGCGAACCATGAACCTTCAGCTACCACCCGTCAGGCCCTGAGATCAGTGCCCCGGTGGCTGCACAGGCGGAAGCGACGGAGCCGAAGCGTCCGACACGGGGAGTCTGGGGTCCGAGAGGTGGCCCCGCTTCGGGCGAGCTGCGTTTGCCTTGGCGCTGCCATGGACATCTCACCTAGGCATTGAGCCATACGCTAGGCAGTTAGGCCATTGAGCCATCGTTCTTGCAATCTTGTGTTCTCCTCGGCCTGACAAGTCCTTCAAGCCACCAGTTCCAAGAGGGTAGAGTCATCATGCTACGCGTCCGGTGGAACACACTCCATGCTTCACCCCACGACGACATACGACGACCATCGCTTTGTTTTACGAAAGTGGTGGCAGTACACCCAAGCCGCGGTGTATGTAAAGGTGAAGTGATCGCCACACCAGCTCGTCGTCACTTTGTCCATGCCTAGCCATCCGTAGCCATGGCACAAGCTGTGCAGCACCTCCCTGCAATGAGTCATCCAGAAGCCTAACTCAACCAACCGTCCACCAGAAACATTAGCCCGCTCGAGGCAGAACCGCCCCCACAGTGGGAGCCCACTCGCAATCCATATGGGCCAGGTGAGCAACTGAGCTTTACAGAGCTCAAGAGCTTCAGCTGTGCAAAGCATCAAATACGGGAGCCATATTCTCCCCACCGGCACCCATGAACAAGATTGAAAGTTGAGGCTGCAAGCATGAGCCCAAACAATTGAAGCTCCAGAGGCAAACCCAATTTCTCACCAAAGATGCATGACTAGTGAAGTGCCAGTGTGAGCCACCCTGCAGATTGCCCATGTGTGGTGCACCGGCACTATTCTGCAAGCAAACCACCTGTGTGCCAAGCATTGTGAGCTGCATTTCCGCCTCAAGGCACTAGAAAACCTCACTGCACGCAAAATGCAAAGCCCAGGATTCTCCCATAGTGCTTTTGGATGCCACTTGCGCAGCCTGCACTCCTGGCAGATCGACAATTTCCCCTTTGCGCAAAGCAGGATTCGCATGTTTTCCTAGCTCTTTTTTTTTGTCATTTGTTCCTGAGTGTTTTTCCCATGTGTTGTTCCTATCTGATCTATTATCTATTTGTTCAATTTGTTATTGTACGTACTATTAACTAATTTGGGACAATCATTGAACATTCCGGGAAAAACATGATTGGGATCTCCCTTTTTTCCGGCACGATTTTACTATTTTTGGTCTCGTGCTGTTCCTGTTGCTTTTTGCAAGGTTTGTGTGGATTTGGCTATCGTAGTTGAAGAAACAGACACAATAGAAGAAATGAGATCCTACTTGTTTACAATGTTCTCCTAATTGTTCCCAGTCGAAGCTTACTGTAACTCCATCCATTTATCGGCACAAGCGCTAGGGATGTCTAAACCCTGCCTGCTCAGGCCACTTCACTCTGACAGCACCAAGCTGTTCATTCCGCGAATGAACCTTATCAAAGAACCACCAAAACCTTTCCACATGCAGTCTGCAGTCTCAACCCCCCGTTTGGCACTGAGACACCGCTCGATGGACTCCAGGTGAACCCCGGAGAGTACAAGGTGATCCTGGACAAATCCACTGGTGCTCGCTTGGGCATCGATGTGGACCACAAGGCCGCGGAGCCGAACCGCGCGATTCCGGTCGAAGCGCGCCCCGAAGAATCGGTCGAAGCGCGGGGTCGGTGGGTGCCAGAAGCGAAGAGGCGTGCGGGACAGCGTGCCTACGGGTGGAGGTTTGGTTTTGGAAGTGGACAACCCTCAAATGGAGGTGTTGCTGAGATTTGAGGTTTTGTTAGGGCAGAATTGGGGCGCATCCCCATCTAAAGAACCTATTGGGGCATGTGTGTCTTCTGCTTTCCCGGTTTCTCATCCAAATTCTAAATCTTAAATTGCTAGCACTTCGGCTTGAGCACCATCCTGGGGGGCGATGAGCGACCTTTGACCACTGATCATCATTCACTGAGTGGACAATCTCCAAGCCACTTGCCACGAGGTGTATTGCAAATAACCCCTTGGGGCCATGGTATTTTTCACATGGACATGTCATGTGGTCAAGTGTCAGTCACTGAATGCCAATGAGGTGCTGAAGGATCACTACCAACAAGACAACGGACACACACACACACAAAATATCTCCAGTGAAAGTACATGGCGCGGCTTCCAACACGTGTCGTTTCATGCGTAGATACCATACCCTCAAGAAGAATGAGGATAGCACAGCTTTTCTTTGGCGTCAGCGCTTTGCTAAGCTTTCCTCCCTGGTTTGCAACCATGTTCAGCTGTCCGAGACGAGGATGGTGAGACTTTGCTCATTGAGGTCATCAACGAAGGTTTGGTGCAGGCGCGGCCAGACGCGGCAAGACTCTACTGTACTGCCCTTCTGTCCTTGGAGTGATCAAGCCCTGGAAATCTTGGGTTTGGTGAGTTTGGTGCTGGTAGTTTTATAGTTCAAGTTCTCTTGGGGACTGCGGATGCGGGAGGTATATATTTCTTTTTGGAACGTGTCAGGGACGAGATTGTGAGCCGACGCAGGTCGGGTCCCGAAAAAGGCTGTCCAAACCATTCCAAACCATGAAACCAGGGCAGACTCTCCAAAACGGACAAACTGGAGTGCCTGCCATGGGTAGTTACTGCATATGGATGTGTATTTTAATAAGGACCCGCAACCGGCCCAACCAATGGTTTTTTTTTGGGCTATTTCCCTTCTTCTCGGGGTCAAACTGGGAGGTCTTCCTATTTTTAATACACACCCATAGAGGCCCCATATCATCCCACATCCTCTTTGGACCTGTACCCTTCGCAGATGTGCCAGGACTGGAACCTGGCCAACAAGGACCGGGCAAAAGCTGAAAAAAGAGCAAGTCAAGTCTAAGTGAGTGTACATGCTGGGCCGCCCGCTTTGACACGACATCCGACATTTGGACAGGCAAAGTCAGGACATGGTGGGCACGGCCTGGTCGCAGCAATTCGGAACAGAACCAATCCTGGCCAAAGAAACAAGCACACCAGCCAAGTATATACTACTTTGGACACTACTGGACCAAAACCCTTGGAAATATACCTCCGGGTTCAACTGGCTGTAGGTTCAGAAACGCAGAAAGATCTTTGTCCAGCCTTCATCCTTTAACCTGGGATGAGGAAACAAAAAACAATGATGTTTCTACATTGAGTTCTTTGTTGCTTTCCACAGCTTTATACAGCTTTCTTCGGAAACAGATGTGTGTTTTGCTGTCTTTCATGCATCTCTACATGGCAAGAGCCTGGACTCCCTCCAGGAGAAGGTCCATGTGGGTGATCGCATCATCGAAGTGAACGGTATCGCCAAGGCCGCCTGGACGGGGGTGGAGGGCGGCGGCGCTCCGCATGCGACGACGGACATCGATCGGTCCATCCGAACAGGACAGGATACAAAAGCGCAGTGGGATGCCTTTCGAAAGAGCCAGACATGACCAGCTCCGAGGAGTGTGTATGAATCACTCCATTTGGGATTCGGAAGGTGTTGCCAGGCTTCAGGGTGGAAGGACAAGGGGGCACTGGTATTTCCGGGAGCCATTGCCAGCCTCTCCCTTTTCATCGCTGGCTGGGTGTCAGATGGACCGAGCGGATCAGGCTGCATTACCCCAAGCCCAAAAAGGGCATCCACACGCGACAGGTGGATGACTCCCTGAGGGGTTGGCATCCCCCGAGAGCGGCTGGCACATCAGTGTACCGCAGCTGGAAATTTCAGAGCAGCTGGCACACCGCACCCCCTAAACGGTGGCAAACACTTAGGATTCCCATTGGCATGCAGGGGCATAGGGGCATGCATGTCCAAAGCGTTTGGGAATTGCATGGTGACATTAATTTATAGCCACGTTTGACCACTTTCACTTGGCCGCTATGCCCATGTGTCTCCCAACCCGGAGTCCACACGGATAGCGTCCGCTGGCCTTGACGTCGCACGTTGGAACGCGACCCAGGATGTCTTGCAGCTGGTGGACGAGTGCAAAAAGAACCAGGCGAGACACTCCATCAACTTGTTGGGGTGAACATGTAGGTTGTTGGCTTCAAGCAGTTTGTTGGGCCGTCCACGAGAAAGTCGTAAAGCATCCGTCCACGAGTGATATCATGAAATGAGTACTAATATACTAATTGTATCCTTTGTTTGGACTCCTCAGGTGCCGAGTTGCAGCAGTGCGAGAATTTCTTGGCCAACGGATGTCAACACGAAATGAAACAACCATCATGGATGGATTTTGACTATTGTTCAGCTGACGAATCGAGGGGATTTGGTGGATGAATCGAGGGGATGCTCCCAATGAACAACCAACAGGTATATGATGTACCAGATCGGCCCCCCTACTTCCTCCAAACAGACATCGCGGAGGGAAACCCCACTCGGACCAATTCACCCGAGAGGCAGCCGTTTGCTGCCCAGCTTCTGCCCCTGTCAGGACCAAAAGCCCATTTGATATCTCATTTGACCTGTTTTATGGGTTGAACTGGTCCAACAGCCGCACCAAACACCGGCCCTGTGTGCGGGTGATCTATATATACTGTAACTGTCTAACGATTTGGAGATGGTCGATGAATAAATCCTTTCCCCTTTACCAGAATGCTTGAATCCATCTCCATATGGGTTCGTTTGTTTTTGTGATGTCTCATCAACTGTCATCTAATTATGATAGAGACTATCCACTAGACTATCCATGTCATCGCGTTGTTCATCGCCTTCATCGCAGGTCTTGACCTTGAAGCTCCGCCGGGCATGACGTCTTCGCTCCGGTCCGGGGCGACCGAGCGATGGAAGGGTGGTCAGAAGGCTCCGGTCGCTTGCGTCGGTCAGATCGTTGAAGTCATTACCAGGGATGCCTGGTAGCTTTTCTCGTTGACAAGGGAATTTGTTTTGGGTGATTGGTGTTGCTTCATGTGTTGAAATAGGGGGAGAGACTCCCCCCTAGCAATCATCCAAGCAGGGAGAATGTCATCCGATATGATTCCAAACACCTTAATTAGAAGGTACCAAATGATCCTTCAATCAAACCTATCATAACCTATCTGATACGCTGACTCTCAGGAGGGTTCTTTGGAGATCTAGTAACGTTCTTTGATTCGTTCGTTTTCATGTTTTGTACGAGGTACTGGCCTTCTTTATAGCCATTTTGGCTTCATCAGTGGAGTGCGGCGCGTGAAAGTTCCAGTCCTCGGCTATATCGTGTTCCTCAGCAGGTGACGCCGTGCGGCCAAGCTTGGTTCTCCGCCTCCACCCGTCATCCGGAGGAATTGGCTCCTGGAGATGAAACATGCCAACCCATCGGTGCTTTGTGCCCAAGTGAGTCCCTTTCTCGCTGTACCTGTCGCCAACACAAGGACGATTCCATGTGTTTTTGTTGGTTTCCTCATGTTTTGCCGCAAAAAAGAACACGGAGCATGGCGTTGTTTGCCACGGCTGCCACGCCAATGGGATTGTGGGCCCCGCCACGAAACCGGTTCACTAAACAAGAAGACAAAAGAGAAATCTGGGAACTTGATGGGACTGTCATGCAACTTGATTGGCTGCTTCAGGACCAGAACCTCTTTGGATTCCTTGGTGAACTGCCCAGCGATCAGGGACTACAGGCAAGATGGTTGAACCCTAAAAAAATGCGGCTCTCTGTATAGAAGTGGCTTGAGAGGGCTCAAACCCACTAGCACCGTACCGCCCTGTTTGGATGGTTATCACTATCACGGTTATACATGGACATGGTCTTTCAAGTCGTAAGTTAAAACGACCTTGACTTGTGACTCCAACTGCAGTGTTCTGGCTCAGTGTTCATGCAGAGTGCTCCTGGAGAATCGGGGGGCTTGTGCTTGTTGACCACGAGCCAGCTCCGTGCAGTTTGCAGTTGATGCACGTGCTTGGAGAAGCTCCTGTTTTTGGTGGACCAGAGAGCTCCAACCACCTGGGAGATAGCGACAGTGAGGTGCTAGAGAGCGCCTACTTTGGTGTGCTTGGAAAGGCACATTAACTCCGTGTTCAAGACCGACCCGGCTTAGACACCGCATGAGTGGGCTCGAGGGGAGCAGCGGCTCCTCAAGAGGGAGAGGTAAAGGCTTCTCCTGGTGGCGAGGCAGCTTCAGAGCTGCCACCCTGAATCGGCCCTGAGAGATCGAGGAGGAGATTGCGAAGGAAGAGAGACGAGGAAAAGGTTGCCGTCAAGGAGCCCACTAATTACAGAGGAGGAAGGTGAGAGGGAGGAGTCACAGTCGGAAGAGCCCAAAAGGAAGCAGAAGAAGTCTCGACGTCACAAGGAGGAGAAGCCCCGAAAGCAAGAGAAAACGCAAAAGCTCCCTGAAGCGGAGCCGAAGCCAGCACCACCAAAGCCCCCAGGACTGGCTGCCAGGGCTCGCCCAGCCCCAAGGAGGAATTGGAGTCTTTTGTGGAGGAGATCAGCAAAGGACAAGAGGAGAAGCCCCAGTTCATCTCCTGGTGAAGGGAGATGAGAACTGGACCGAGGAGGAGGAGGAGGAAGATCTGTGAGACCTACAATCCCCGTTGAAAATGGCAATGAAGAGGAGATCCGAGAGTGCCAAGAGTGAGGCTGACCAGCGGCAATTTTGGACCGATGGCAAAAATGCAACGGTTCTTCAGGAACAGCATTGCGAGGATGCAGTGGACCTAGTGGCTCTGTCCCAGTCCGCGTAGGACTTTTCAAAGAAATTCAAGATGACGTGTGTCCTAGAGAGTTCGCTCGGCTCTTTTTTTGTCCCCCTGGGTGGCTGAGAGGCTGACAGTGTAGATCATGTAGTAGCAGCAGAAATAGTAGTGGTAGTGTTAGTGGTAGTGTTAGTAGTAGTAGTAGCAGCAGTAGTAGTAGTAGCAGTAGTAGTAGCAGTAGGAGTAATGCCTTGAAAGGCAAAGTCCGCTCTGGCTTGCTGGGGCTCAATCTCTCTCTCTCCAGGACCTGTTCCAGCACCTCCAATTCTGCTTCTGTCTGCTTCAGAGCTTGCCCATAGCAGCGATATAAGGCTGCCAATTGTCGAGTTTGCCCCTTTGCCATCAAGCGTTTGCTGAACAGGATTCCGTGGCGTTCAAACAGTTCCAATGCCAGGACATACTTGTGTTTTTGCAGGCAGCTTTCCCAAGTGCGTAACTTGCACAGTTTTTGAACCGAGCATGAGGAAAAATAGAGCTAGCGCAAGACAAGAGGCCCTTCACACACCCAGGTTGTGTGCCACAGCCAAGGATTTTGAGTGGCTGAGTGGCTGGTGTGACACTCGCTAAGGTTGAGGGCTAGTGAGAGTTCCTCTTTTCCTTTGAAGGCTCGCCTCCTCTTCTCGTCTCCCATGCGTTCCCTTTTGCAATCTTTTGCTCGTACCCCTGAAGTGCCAGCTGTCCTCCTCTCCTCCGGATCCCGGACCCGCGTGGCTTTCCAAACCGGACCTGTCACCGCCCACCGGGTGAGGAGAGCGCGCCGTGCCCATGTCACAGCCGTCACACGGTGTCCACAAACTCTGCCGAGATTCCTGAGCCTCACTGACGCGTAGAATCGTAGAAGTCAACCTGTTGCGCGCGGGGCGGGCACCCTCTGCCCTCTGCCACTTAGTGGAGCCGGAAGGAGGACACAAACGGCAGTCGGGTGAGTGCCCCCACATCCAAATGGCGGTGAGCTGAAGCTGTGGGTGAACGGTGGTTTTACCAGCCATTCGTTTACAAAAACAGATCCAAAGTTACAGATATTATCAGATAATTTATATATATATATATACATATATATGAGCCACCTCACTGTTAGTTGAGGTTTTCATTTCTATTTGGAGTTTTCACCTTGCCCTTGCTTCCAGGGTAACACCCCTGAACTCCGCTACACTTCATTGATGTTTGTATTCAGGTGATCGGGTGAGGAATGGGATGGGTGGATGTATGTGGGAGTTTTTCTTAAATAGGATCTCTTGCAAAAGAAGAACGCACCGAAAGATGCAAAGTTGTGGTGGTTTTCATTTTGTTCGGTCGGCTTGTGGGTTTGATGTGTTGACTGAATGGGTTGCATAAGCACCTCTTGAGAAAGAGGGATGCACTGCAAGGTGCGCATCCAGCTCTATGGCACACTGAACGCTAGGATTTTGTTAAAAACAATCTTGATCAGGCCCAAGTTCATGATGTTGATCTTCATGCTTTATATTTACGATGTTGCAGCGATGGTCAGAAGCGTGTGCTTGCATGTCGATTGGTGTGGCTTGGCTGTTGCATTGTGCACTGTACGGCGGAGCTTGCACTAAGATTTGATGCAGTGAGTGACAACTTTTAGTAGTGGACCACTCTTCAAATTCCAGGAGTTGAACGCTTTCTATCCTGGAGCAACTGATTGTTTTGTGTGCGAGAACCTGTGTTCCATGTGCTTTGTTTCAATTTCCTTTGTCAACCAGTTTCTGGAATTCCAGAAGCTGGACCAACCCCATGGAATTTGCAGGGGTTGTGCAAAGAAACTTTTCCAACAAACATACTGACCGAACGATGGAAACTTGTGTGACCAAACGGCAGAAATCTCGTTGACCGAATGCCAAAAACGTAATGTGCCCCCCTGGCAGCGCCCGAACGACGGTTGTTGACCGAACGCCAAAAACTTGTATGGGCACTGGCAGTGCCCGATCGACAAACCCAAGAGTGACCGGACGACAAATCTCAGAGCTTACCCTGCCATCAGAAGGGGGGTAGCTGTCCAGCCCTCAGATGGCATGGGCACCGCCAGTGCCCGAACGAAGGAACACCAACCAGCTTACCTTGTTTTGTGAAGGGGGGTAGAGCTGTCAACCCCTCAGATGGCAAGGGCGCTGCCAGTGCCCGAACGAAGGAGCACCAGGAACCATCTTGATCAACGTCATCATGTGAAAAGATTTTTGTAAACCAAAGAGCTTAACCTGCCATCTGAGCGGGGTAAGCGCTTCCTGGCTGACAATGAATATCACTGTCAGGTACACCAAACGCCCTCAGATGGCATGGTCACTTGCAGTGCCCATGCCATTTGAGGGGTTGGCGGCACCCCCCTCAGATGGCGGGGTAACCTTAATGCTATCATTGAAAAGATTTGATAAACTATATAAATAGCGTGCCAGTGTGCCCTGTGTTAATGCTATCAATGGAAAGCTGTTTATATACCAAATAGTGCACTGCACCCTGTGTTCATGCTATCAATGGAAAGACTGTTTTCGCCAAATAGCTCACCCTGGGGCTGGATGTTTATTCAACCCTCCAACATTTTTTTTCAACCCTAACCTTTTTTTTCAACCCTCCAAGACGCTTTTGCAACCCTGGGTTGGAAAAAATGTAACCCCTACTAAATCAACCCATGGTCCGTATATTCCAACCTTTGTTTTCACCCTGGAAACATGCCTTTTTCACCCTGGAAACATGTTTTTTCCACCCTTGAACCTTTTTTTCCAACCCATAAACATGCTATTTCAACCCTATGACACGCTATTCTAACCCTGGGTCGCACCGTGGGGGGCTGGCCTTTCAGTCCTAGGATGTAGCCGCCTTCGTCGGAAGCTCGAACGATTCGGCCGCCCTATTCTGCTATCGCTGCTGGTCCTTCTCCACCGTCTTCCTTTTGCTTTGGCCTTGCTGGCTGGCTGCTGCCAACCTCCACCTGCAGCTTCCGCTGCTGCCGCTGGTGCTGCTGCTTACTGCTTTGCTGTGCTGCAGCCACTGCTGCTACCGCTGCTGCCGCCGCCGCTGTTGCCGCTGTTTGTGCCGACGCTTCCTTTTTGCTTAGCTGTTGCTGCTCTGCTGGTTTGGATGCATGCTCGTGCTCAGAAAGAGTCGGCAGCGCACGCAACATCGCCGCTCCGAGCGACATGTTCCCAGAACAAATATGCTCGGTGCACTTTTTTAAGATTGTCAAATGGTCACAACAGACCGAGCCCTCTGAAATCCCGAATATCATGGCTACTATGCACGCCCTCCTACACCCAGGCCCCCCCTGTTGAAACCTATGTTCAGACATTAGTAAGGCCTAAGCAGGCTTCAAACCTCAGTTTCTACTCGGTAGGCGCTCAACACAGCATGGAACTCTTACTGGGATGTTGTTTTCGGGCTGGGTGTTTTTTTATGCTAATGGTTTTTTTCTTATGCTCATAGCGGGGTTGGTGTGCTTTTGGGGTATGGGTTTCTTTTTTTATGCTTATAGTGCTTTTTTTATGCTAATGGTTTTTTTCTGTTGTGCTTGCAGTTCTTTCTTTTTTGCTCCTGGTTTCTTTTTTTATGCTAATGGTTTCTTTTTTAATGCTAAGGGTTCTTTTTTTTATGCGGCACTGTGGGAAGAGGTCACGTTGGGGGGTCCTAGTGCAGAATGTAATTGTCAGGAGGGTTTAGTGCAGAATGTAATTGTCGGGAGGCTTTAGTACAGAATGTAATTGTCGGGAGGTTTTAGTACAGAAAGTAATTTTCGAGAGGTTTTAGTACAGCAAGTAATTGTCGGGAGGTTTGAGTACAGAAAGTAATTGTCGGGAGGTTTTAGTACAGAAAGTAATTGTCGGGAGGTTTTAGTACAAAACGTAATTGTCGGGGGGCTTTAGTACAGAATTAAATGTCGGGGGCCCTTTAGTATCGAATGTAAGCGTCGGGGTGTTATCGAATGGACAATTATTCATGAACGAACCGTTCAGTGAAAGGTGATGCATCCGTCAGCAGAAACCGAAAAGTGATGAGTTCCAGTATCAACTGATATCAGAACGGTAGAAATGTGGCCAAATGGGCTCCAGTCAGAAATCAGGGTCGCTTCGTGCGGTGTCTGTGTGGGTCCGTCCGGCATGGGTGGGCAGTGATCAAGCTCCTCTCTCGTTGGATCTCCTCGCTGGAGTTTTTTGGTTTCCGCCAGCAAAGAAGTTTTCATCGGGGAAGAGTTTGCATGTCACCATCCAAGAAAAGACGCGACTTCCACAGAGCCTCTGCTCATGCCACGCGTCAGAATGCTTCCGATCGAAAACAGGGCCGTTCTTCTGCCAGCCGTTGTTCTTCCCGACGCAGAAGGGCTTTGTGGCTGGCATGGAGGGCAGATGGCCATTCCACCATTCCAGCAGACAAGGTTTGTTTGTTCTACCGTCTCGCCCTTGCCGCCAAAACTGGAACTGGAGTGTTGGGTGAATTTCTTTGCAATTCCTTGCCTGTGCAGCCGCCGGTCAGAACTCGGCAACGAGATGTTTTTCCCTTGGCCCCGCTTGCGATGATTGTTTGCGTGTTTTTGAATCTTTCTCCAAGGGCCCGAAAGACGAATATGCAAAATTGGTTGTCAAGCAGCTGCGGTGTGGTAAGTTGAGTTTAGCAACTTTTTGCAAGGGTGGTGGTACCACTTTCGCTGTTGGGAAGCCTGGGGGTGAACGCCTGAGGGAGGTATGGCACGGCCGACGTGTTTGAGAATCAGCTTCTGCACCTCCAAAGCCGAGACACTTGGCTTCCCCAACTGCGTTGACCTTTCTGGAGTGCAGCGATGGAAGACCACTACGCCTTAGCAAGCGCGATGCTACGTGTTGGTTTGACCAGTTGAAGCTTCCCAGCTCTCTTCGTCAATACATGGCCAAACCGCCCATCTCCACAGTGGAACTTGTCAATGCTGGAATGTCAGTGGCGGATCAGCGGCAGCACATGGAAGATGGACATGCTTGGCGCGAAGGTTTGCTATATCCTTTGCACTGCGTCTGGCCTATGGGATTTTCTTGGTCTTCTTACATAGCCCAAGAAGAGATGCTGAGCGTTTGTCAAGATGCTGGCATACCAACTTCATCTCTCTTGGCTTGTGATTGCGTGACACCTACATCGTTTGAGCTTGTTGCTGCGGTGGCCACCGATGATGTCATGATTTTCAGCGACGCTGGCCCTGGTACCACCTGTGAAGCAGCAAGAGCTTTCGATGCAGCGATGGATGCACGATGCGCAGTCCGAAATCTTAAGAAGGACGTTGACGACGCGCTCTGTGGTACCTGTGTTGGGGTTGACTTAGTAGACGGATACTTTCTGGATGTGCCGGGGGGACGCTACTTGGCCATGATTCTGACATTTCTGCACCTGCACAGATGCAGGGTGGGCACGCCGCGGCAGGTCCACCAGCTCTTTGGGGTGCTGCAATGGTTTGACCTCCTGATCAGGCCAAAGCTATCCGTTTACAGTGCCATCTATGATTTCACGATCAGTGACAGTCCTGATGCTGTACCGCTGCCTGAGCGGGTGTTGGCGGAGCTGGCGTGCAGCCTCTGTCTGGGCATGTTTTGGCGCTGCGACTTGAGAAGGCGTTTTTTGCCGATGCTTGGTGCAACAGATGCCAGCTTATCCTATGGTTTGGGGGCAAGCATTGTGCGTGCCTCGGAAGAAATGGTCCGAACGGTTGCTCGCTGGGCTGAAAAGCAAGGGGCTTTTGTAGTTATGGACGGTGATGCTGCGAAAAGTTTGAGCGCTGAGCGGATGCTGGAGGCACGGTACCTCAATTTGAAGCTTGAGCACTTTTCCGACATCTTCAGTGTTCGCTCCAAATTTCCTGCACACATCAACGTCCTGGAAGGTGAGGCATTCGTGCTTTTCTTGAAGTGGCTTCTGCGGTCCACCAAGCACCACTCGACAAGAGTTGTTGTTCTGCTTGACTCTGCAGTTTTTCTGGGCGCGGCCGCGAAAGGGAGGTCATCTTCACAGTTGAACAGGCTGTTGCGGAAGGTCGCTTCTCTGGCGATGGCTGGAAATCTTCAGCTGCATTTTATCTTTGTCCCCTGCAGCGAAAATCCAGCGGATTTCCCCTCGCGTGGCAAGAAGAGGCGAGCGCGAAAGTGAAGCAGCTCTAGGCTGCACGGAGTTTTTCGGAAGCCCTGCCTTTCTGGCATGATGTGCAAACTTCCGAACTTGCACCCTAGAATTCAATTTTGTCAATTTTGAAGGGTGTTCGTGTTGCTGGCGCTCGGCGTCCTACATCCGGGCACGCTGCGGTAGATTCTGCGCGTTCTGGCGCAGAACTGGCTCCGACGGGCAGCTGGAAGATGCTTGGTGCTGATGTTGGGCGCTCGGGCTACTGTGAGTTTGCTCCGCTCACAAAGGCCTCAACGGCGCACTGGTTGATGTGATAATCTGCTCTCTGAGACCCACACACACAACTGGTGGAATTCTTTTTGGTTTTGTCGGCAGTGATTTTCTCTCACAGCCAGTGCCGGTGGTCGGGATTGATGATCATTAATGCTGGACCTGAACAAAGCTGGCAAAGTCAGCTGTGGACAGTGGTTGTAGCATGATCAAGTTCTAACCTCTCGGCAATCGCACCCGGTTCACAAAAGATTCGCATCCTGTCCTTGCTGCACGGTGCTGCTTGGCCTGAAACTCCTGGGAGGCTGGAAGGAGAGGTG